ACGTATGACATTTATCACACGTATGACATTTATCAACATGTGTGACATTTATCACACGTATGACATTTATCACACGTATGACATTTATCACACGTATGACATTTATTAACATGTATGACATTTATCACACGTATGACATTTATCACACGTATGACATTTATCAACATGTATGACATTTATCAACATGTATGACATTTATCAACATGTATGACATTTATCACATGTGTGACATTTATCACACATATGACATTTATCACATGTATGACATTTATCACACGTATGACATTTATCACACGTATGACATTTATCACACGTATGACATTTATCACACATATGACATTTATCACATGTATGACATTTATCACATGTATGACATTTATCACATGTATGACATTTATCAACATGTATGACATTTATCAACATGTGTGACATTTATCACATGTATGACATTTATCACATGTATGACATTTATCACATGTATGACATTTATCACATGTATGACATTTATCAACATGTGTGACATTTATCAACATGTGTGACATTTATCAACATGTGTGACATTTATCAACATGTATGACATTTATCAACATGTATGACATTTATCACATGTATGACATTTATCACATGTATGACATTTATCAACATGTGTGACATTTATCAACATGTGTGACATTTATCAACATGTGTGACATTTATCAACATGTATGACATTTATCAACATGTATGACATTTATCAACATGTATGACATTTATCAACATGTATGACATTTATCACATGTGTGACATTTATCACATGTGTGACATTTATCACATGTGTGACATTTATCACACGTATGACATTTATCACACGTATGACATTTATCACACGTATGACATTTATCACACGTATGACATTTATCACACGTATGACATTTATTAACATGTATGACATTTATCACACGTATGACATTTATCACACGTATGACATTTATCACACGTATGACATTTATCACACGTATGACATTTATCACACGTATGACATTTATCACACGTATGACATTTATCACACGTATGACATTTATTAACATGTATGACATTTATCACACGTATGACATTTATCACACGTATGACATTTATCAACATGTATGACATTTATCAACATGTATGACATTTATCAACATGTATGACATTTATCACATGTGTGACATTTATCACACATATGACATTTATCACATGTATGACATTTATCACACGTATGACATTTATCACACGTATGACATTTATCACACGTATGACATTTATTAACATGTATGACATTTATCACACGTATGACATTTATCACACGTATGACATTTATTAACATGTATGACATTTATCACACGTATGACATTTATCACACGTATGACATTTATCACACGTATGACATTTATCACACGTATGACATTTATTAACATGTATGACATTTATCACACGTATGACATTTATCACACGTATGACATTTATCACACGTATGACATTTATCACACGTATGACATTTATTAACATGTATGACATTTATCACACGTATGACATTTATCACACGTATGACATTTATCACACATATGACATTTATCACATGTATGACATTTATCACATGTATGACATTTATCACATGTATGACATTTATCAACATGTATGACATTTATCAACATGTGTGACATTTATCACATGTATGACATTTATCACATGTATGACATTTATCACATGTATGACATTTATCACATGTATGACATTTATCAACATGTGTGACATTTATCAACATGTGTGACATTTATCAACATGTGTGACATGTATCAACATGTATGACATTTATCAACATGTATGACATTTATCACATGTATGACATTTATCACATGTATGACATTTATCAACATGTGTGACATTTATCAACATGTGTGACATTTATCAACATGTGTGACATTTATCAACATGTATGACATTTATCAACATGTATGACATTTATCAACATGTATGACATTTATCACATGTATGACATTTATCACATGTATGACATTTATCACATGTATGACATTTATCACATGTATGACATTTATCACATGTATGACATTTATCACATGTATGACATTTATCACATGTATGACATTTATCAACATGTATGACATTTATCAACATGTATGACATTTATCAACATGTGTGACATTTATCAACATTTGTGACATTTATCAACATGTGTGACATTTATCAACATGTGTGACATTTATCAACATGTATGACATTTATCAACATGTATGACATTTATCAACATGTATGACATTTATCACATGTGTGACATTTATCACATGTGTGACATTTATCACATGTGTGACATTTATCACACGTATGACATTTATCACACGTATGACATTTATCACACGTATGACATTTATCACACGTATGACATTTATCACACGTATGACATTTATCAACATGTATGACATTTATCACATGTATGACATTTATCACATGTATGACATTTATCACATGTATGACATTTATCAACATGTATGACATTTATCACATGTGTGACATTTATCAACATGTATGACATTTATCAACATGTATGACATTTATCAACCTTGTATGATATTGGTCTCTCCCTATGGACCAATGTGTATTTTCTGTGTCTTAACTGATGATTCTCTGACCTGTGGTGATTTCAATGGTTTTGTGAAGTCTGAGATGATGCTGCTGTGATTTTGAGAAATACAAGAATAAATGTAATTAAAAGGACATTGGAAGTCCCTCCCCTTAACCCGTCCCCCCCACCCTCGCTGCTTGTTTATGGCCAACACTGTAGTATCCAGGCCGAAGCAGGTGGGACAGTCTGGGGCCGAAGAGGATGGGACAGTCTGGGGCCAAAGAGGGTGGGACAGTCTGGACCTGAGCCAAAAGCGAGAGTCCCACAGATGTTGTTCTTGTGCGAACCTCGTGTCTGCCCTGTTCATACGTGACATCACACTTCTATCTCTATAAACCACTGCAGACTGAGAACCTCTGAGCGGAGAGCCAGTCTCCCTCTGTACATTCCGCACAATCCACCCACACACACACACAGACACACACACACACACACACACAGTGACATAATAGTCAGACACAAACCTGGAGTGATGGTTGTTTCCACAGAGGGCCACACAGCAGCAGGAAAAGAGCAACACACACAGAGTGAAACATGAGCCTTTGACCCGCCTCCCCCTGTGATGTCACATGTCTGCACACCCCTCGGATCTGTCGTTCTTCTGCTGGAGCCTTCTGCAGAGATGGAGTCAGTGGGGCAGGGCCTCTGAGGTTTTGAAATATGTTTGGATGTTTGCTGTTGTTGGTGCCCACTCGTTGTTAGGGGCCGTTGCCATGGGAACGATGTCGAGGGCAATCCTTCTTTGATAGAATTTAATCAAAACATGTAAGACTTTGATTTACTTTGATTTGTTCTCATTGCCTCTAAAACAGTGGTCTCAAAGGTATTGTGTGGCTCCCTGGTGGACATCTCAGTGTCTCTAAAGAAGCAAGTACAACATCTCTAACTTTATTCTGCTAAAGATCTGAGACTTGCTTCTTTTTCTCGCTTTTCTTCAAAGAATGAGAAGAAGTTTGAGACGTAGAAGTTTATTATTTTCATCAGGAGCAAAGTGGTCAGTGTCAAATCTGTTTGTTCTGCAAACACACAAACACGTGAGAAACATAACCCCTGAGAGAGAGAGAGAGGGAGAGACAGATAGAGAGAGAGAGGAACGGGTGAGATAGAGAGAGAGAAGGAGGAGTGAGAGAGAGTGGACACGTATGACATCGCTGTTACGACCATGGTTATGTGATAATATGTTGCTGCTCAAACCTGTCTCCACATGGACTAGAGGCCACCTGTGGTACTGCAGCCTCAGCCCACATGGACTAGAGGCCACCTGTGGTACTGCAGCCTCAGCCCACATGGACTAGAGGCCACCTGTGGTACTGCAGCCTCAGCCCACATGGACTAGAGGCCACCTGTGGTACTGCAGCCTCACCCCACATGGACTAGAGGCCACCTGTGGTACTGCAGCCTCAGCCCACATGGACTAGAGGCCACCTGTGGTACTGCAGCCTCAGCCCACATGGACTAGAGGCCACCTGTGGTACTGCAGCCTCAGCCCACATGGACTAGAGGCCACCTGTGGTACTGCAGCCTCAGCCCACATGGACTAGAGGCCACCTGTGGTACTGCAGCCTCAGCCCACATGGACTAGAGGCCACCTGTGGTACTGCAGCCTCAGCCCACATGGACTAGAGGCCACCTGTGGTACTGCAGCCTCAGCCCACATGGACTAGAGGCCACCTGTGGTACTGCAGCCTCAGCCCACATGGACTAGAGGCCACCTGTGGTACTGCAGCCTCAGCCCACATGGACTAGAGGCCACCTGTGGTACTGCAGCCTCAGCCCACATGGACTAGAGGCCACCTGTGGTACTGCAGCCTCGGCCCACATGGACTAGAGGCCACCTGTGGTACTGCAGCCTCAGCCCACATGGACTAGAGGCCACCTGTGGTACTGCAGCCTCAGCCCACATGAACCTCACATGTTGTGTGGTTCTACTCCCGCACGGCACCTACTGCACAGACACCAGGGGCGGACATCTTGGAGAGACCAGGAGCAGACATCTTGGAGAGACCAGGAGCAGACATCTTGGAGAGACCAGGGGCAGACATCTTTGAGAGACCAGGAGCAGACATCTTGGAGAGACCAGGGGCAGACATCTTGGAGAGACCAGGAGCAGACATCTTGGAGAGACCAGGGGCAGACATCTTGGAGAGACCAGGAGCAGACATCTTGGAGAGATTTTTCTAAATTGATCCAATGCAAATTAATACAGCATCATGTACAGAGACAAAGTGTCTAAGGGACGACATTATTCAACTTATTCAGCAACATATGAATACATGTAAAATTATTATTAATATGTTTATCATTAGATATTATGTGAAGAGTGGAAACTCCCATGTAACCTCTGTTACACTTCTCTAATGGCCGCCTCGTACTGTGGCTCTTCTTCCTCCACGTTTATTTTCAGAACCAGATAAAACAGCAGAGCGTCCAGGACAAAGTAGAAGTTTGTGATGCAGAAAACATCGAAGGCCAGTGGGAGATAGTCATGTGACTTCAGGAGCAGACAGTCGAGGACGGCGTTGGGGAGACAGACGAGGACGTAGGTGACAGCAGCCAGGACTCCCAGCAGCCTCCTCTGTTTGGCCATCCTGGTCTGAGCCTGCTTCAAACACACCACGGCGATAGACACCATCAGCAGGAGGTTAAAGACGTCCACAGCCACGATCACTCCGGGAAACAGCCGCACGGTCACAATGACCAGGATGAACGGTGGAGCATCCAGGCATTTCCCCACGAGGCGGATCCCAGACGCCCATTTAGGACGGTAGAGGAAGAGCACGGCGACCAGAGCTGTGATCAGGTGTTGGGACAGACTAAGCCTGCGGAAAGCCATCCACATTTTAGAGATGATCAAGCAGCCCAGCGCTTCTCTCTGACACACATCGCGCAGAACGAAGGCCATGTACATGATCCCAAAGATGGCGGTGAAGGTGTCAAACCCGAGCAGAGTGAACAGAGACATGTGGGTGTGCTGCACGCCACGGAGCTCACTCTCTTTCCAGCGGATAGAAGTGTAGAGCGACTGCCCAAAGAGGCGACCTTTGACCCTTTGGGAGCAGAAGGTGAAGATGTAAATGCAGAGACCCAGAGCGATGGGGACGAGCAGCAGAGAACTCTCCAAGTTTGGATTCACCGCCACAACGGACCGAGAAGGATCCTCCTCATCCATGGCTCAGCCTGTGGGAGACACAGGGTCAGTGTCTGTGATTGGATCAAACTAAACTTTAGTAAAATGACTTGTGTCTGAGCATAAAGCCATCTCCATGGAACTATCTTTCTCCTCTCATTGCCCACACAGTCTACATCCGTCAGTGAATATAGCCTTCACAACATTCTCCACTCCCAAGCACCAATAAAAAAGAACTGTCTTGTTTGTTAGATCCAGGCTTATAGTGCACCAACTCTCCCTAACCCTCACCATATGTACTTTCTACTCTCAGAAAGTTACAATAAAATAATCATGATATAATCATAAAATAATATACATAATAAACTCTGCTCAGGCCTCCCACACATTCACACGAAGCCCTCCACCTGCACTGGGCCCTATGCCCACACCATCAAAGCAACTGCCACAGCCATTGACCCACTAACTACACTGTTGAATAACATAATGATTTTATGGTCAAATTCTGGCAAAATGACTGTAAATAATATTGTTGTGAAGCAAATTACAGAAACAAGTGTTTGAAATAACGGATAAATCACAATCAAAATCTTTATTGATAGTTCATCCACCCTCATCATCCTCTACCCCCATCATCCACCCTCATCATCCACCCCCATCATCCACCCCCATCATCCACCCTCATCATCCTCTACCCCCATCCACCCTCATCATCCACCCTCATCATCCTATACCCCCATCATCCACCCTCATCATCCACCCCCATCATCGACCCCCATCATCCACCCTCATCATCCACCCTCATCATCCACCCCCATCATCCACCCCCATCATCCACCCCCATCATCCACCCTCATCATCCACCCCATCACCCACCCTCAACATCCACCCTCATCATCCACCCCCATCATCCACCCCCATCATCCACCCCCATCATCCACCCTCTTCATCCTCTACCCCCATCATCCACCCTCATCATCCACCCTCATCATCCACCCTCATCATCCACCCCCATCATCCACCCTCATCATCCACCCTCATCATCCACCCTCATCATCCACCCCCATCATCCACCCCCATCATCCACCCCCATCATCCTCTACCCCCATCATCCACCCTCATCATCCACCCCCATCATCCACCCCCATCATCCACCCCCATCATCCACCCCCATCATCCACCCTCATCATCCACCCTCATCATCCACCCCCATCATCCACCCTAATCATCCTCTACCCCCATCATCCTCTACCCCCATCATCCACCCTCATCATCATCCACCCTCATCATCCACCCTCATCATCATCCACCCTCATCATCCTCTACCCCCATCATCCACCCTCATCATCCACCCCCATCATCATCCACCCCCATCATCCACCCTCATCATCCACCCTCATCATCCACCCTCATCATCCACCCTCATCATCCACCCTCATCATCCACCCCCATCATCCACCCCCATCATCCACCCCCATCATCCACCCCCCTCATCATCCACCCTCATCATCCACCCTCATCATCCACCCTCATCATCATCCACCCTCATCATCCTCTACCCCCATCATCTACCCCCATCATCCACCCTCATCATCCACCCCCATCATCATCCACCCCCATCATCCTCTACCCCCCTCATCCACCCCCATCATCCACCCCCATCATCCACCCCCATCATCCACCCCCATCATCCACCCTCATCATCCACCCCCATCATCCTCTACCCCCATCATCCACCCTCATCATCCACCCCCATCATCCACCCCCATCCTCTACCCCCATCATCCACCCTCATCATCCACACACATCCTCCTCTCTGTCTCCCTCTCTCCCCCTCTGTGAAGAGCCCCCTGCTGGCAGTGTGCTCTAAACCCTCTGTGAAGAGCTTCCTGCTGGCAGTGTGCTCTAAAGCCTCTGTGAAGAGCCCCCTGCTGGCAGCATGCTCTAAAGCCTCTGTAGAGCCCCCTGCTGGCAGCGTGCTCTAAACCCTCTGTGAAGAGCCCCCTGCTGGCAGCGTGCTCTAAAGCCTCTGCAGAGCCCCCTGCTGGCAGCGTGCTCTAAACCCTCTGTGAAGAGCCCCCTGCTGGCGGCGTGCTCTAAACCCTCTGTGAAGAGCCCCCTGCTGGCGGCGTGCTCTAAACCCTCTGTGAAGAGCTTCCTGCTGGCGGCGTGCTCTAAACCCTCTGTGAAGAGCCCCCTGCTGGCGGCGTGCTCTAAACCCTCTGTGTAGAGCCCCCTGCTGGCAGCGTGCTCTAAACCCTCTGTGAAGAGCCCCCTGCTGGCGGCGTGCTCTAAAGCCTCTGTGAAGAGCTTCCTGCTGGCAGCGTGCTCTAAACCCTCTGTGAAGAGCTTCCTGCTGGCAGCGTGCTCTAAAGCCTCTGTGAAGAGCTTCCTGCTGGCAGCATGCTCTAAAGCCTCTGTGAAGAGCTTCCTGCTGGCAGCGTGCTCTAAACCCTCTGTGAAGAGCTTCCTGCTGGCAGAATACAGCAGCAAGGATCTGAACAGGCACCCAAAGGAGAGAGCACATAACTCCAGTGTTAAAATCACTTCACTGGCTTCTGTAGAGGATAGACCAGAGAGAGAGAGAGACCAGAGAGAGACCAGAGAGAGACCAGAGAGAGACCAGAGAGAGAGAGACCAGAGAGAGAGAGACCAGAGAGAGAGAGACCAGAGAGAGAGAGACCAGAGAGAGAGAGACCAGAGAGAGAGAGACCAGAGAGAGAGAGACCAGAGAGAGAGAGACCAGAGAGAGAGAGACCAGAGAGAGAGAGACCAGAGAGAGAGAGACCAGAGAGAGAGAGACCAGAGAGAGAGAGACCAGAGAGAGAGAGACCAGAGAGAGAGAGACCAGAGAGAGAGACCAGAGAGAGAGAGACCAGAGAGAGAGAGACCAGAGAGAGAGAGACCAGAGAGAGAGAGACCAGAGAGAGAGAGACCAGAGAGAGAGAGAGACCAGAGAGAGAGAGAGACCAGAGAGAGAGAGACCAGAGAGAGAGAGACCAGAGAGAGAGAGACCAGAGAGAGAGACCAGAGAGAGAGACCACTGGCTTCTGTGGAGGACAGAATAAAGTTTAAAATCCTTCTTTTAACAAACAAAGACATAAAGGGCTCCTTCTTTTCTTCAAGACACGTTAGTGTCATATCCACCAAACCCAAAGAGTCCTAAAGAGTCAGAACACCAGAGTCTGCTGGGTCCTAAAGAGTCAGGACACTAGACGTCTGCTGGGTCCTAAAGAGTCAGAACACCAGAGTCTGCTGGGTCCTAAAGAGTCAGAACACCAGAGTCTGCTGGGTCCTAAAGAGTCAGAACACTATAGACGTCTGCTGGGTCCTAAAGAGTCAGAATACCAGAGTCTGCTGGGTCCTAAAGAGTCAGAACACCAGAGTCTGCTGGGTCCTAAAGAGTCAGAACACCAGAGTCTGCTGGGTCCTAAAGAGTCAGAACACCAGAGTCTGCTGGGTCCTAAAGAGTCAGAACACCAGAGTCTGCTGGGTCCTAAAGAGTCAGAACACCAGAGTCTGCTGGGTCCTAAAGAGTCAGAACACCAGAGTCTGCTGGGTCCTAAAGAGTCAGAACACTAGACGTCTGCTGGGTCCTAAAGAGTCAGAACACCAGAGTCTGCTGGGTCCTAAAGAGTCAGAACACCAGAGTCTGCTGGGTCCTAAAGAGTCAGAATACCAGAGTCTGCTGGGTCCTAAAGAGTCAGAACACCAGAGTCTGCTGGGTCCTAAAGAGTCAGAACACCAGAGTCTGCTGGGTCCTAAAGAGTCAGAACACCAGAGTCTGCTGGGTCCTAAAGAGTCAGAACACTAGACGTCTGCTGGGTCCTAAAGAGTCAGAACATCAGAGTCTGCTGGGTCCTAAAGAGTCAGAACACCAGAGTCTGCGGGGTCCTAAAGAGTCAGAACACCAGAGTCTGCGGGGTCCTAAAGAGTCAGAACACCAGACGTCTGCTGGGTCCTAAAGAGTCAGAACATCAGAGTCTGCGGGGTCCTAAAGAGTCAGAACATCAGAGTCTGCGGGGTCCTAAAGAGTCAGAACACCAGAGTCTGCTGGGTCCTAAAGAGTCAGAACACTAGACGTCTGCTGGGTCCTAAAGAGTCAGAACCAACAGCAGCAACGGCAACAAACACACAGACATTCCAGTTTGAGCATTAGTGATGAATTATTCTAGTTCAATCACAAACGATCAATTATTTTAGTCCGACCAAAAGCTTTTAACCAGGATTGTTTTTTATCTTTTTCCTCGGGAAGAATGTAATGTTGTGTGTACACTGTAAACACTGAACAGGACATGTACTTTTGTTGTGATGAAATGATTGAGGAAATTATAGGAATCATGAAAGTGTTAAAGGGAAAGGTCTAAGAGCTAATTTATTATGCTCTTGGATATGTCCGCTCAATGATCTAAACATTTGTCCATGACTGTTGAAAGTGTCTCAGTGGAGGGTCCTGGATCCTCTCTGTCCTCAGAGGAACATCTGAGTTTGGAATAAATTCATGAAACCAAATTCATGAAAAACTGAACCTAAACAAAACCACTTAATCAAAGAATAACGACATTCACTCACAACAACATCTAAAAGGCGTCAGAGACATGGACTTACGGGATTTATCCAGAGACAGCAGTACACAGCAGCAGTACCAGCAGCAGCAGTACACAGCTGCAGTACCAGCAGCAGCAGTACACAGCTGCAGTACTAGCAAAAGCAGTACCAGCAGCAGGAGCAGTACCAGCAGAAGCAGTTCCAGCAGCAGCAGTACCAGCAGCAGCAGTACACAGCAGCAGTACCAGCAGCAGCAGTACACAGCAGCAGTACCAGCAGCAGCAGTACACAGCTGCAGTACCAGCAAAAGCAGTACCAGCAGCAGGAGCAGTACCAGCAGCAGCAGTACCAGCAGCAGCAGCAGGAAGAGGAGAAGGAGGAGGAGGAGAGAGCAGCTGTCGCATCCGCTGCAGGATAATTATATTAGGAAACTGTCTCCTTTAACAAGCCTGTGACATCACAGGCCTGGCCTCTGTCAGCCTCTTCAGGACCTCAGTGCTGCTGGGAACTCTAACAGAATAATAACAACATTTAAACAGTTCTCGTCAGTACGCTCAGTCTCTTCACTCTAAACACAGTGGTGATAGACTACCACAGCTGTCCCACTTTGGCACCTGGTGTTCCCAGCGGTCTCCCATCACAATACTAACCAGGCCCTGCCCTACTTAGCTTCAGCGGCATGCTCTGGGTCAGGAGCAGAGCTGCAGGAATTACCCAATGTACATGTTTATAGTGGGAGGGGAAACTGGAGCACCTGGAGGAAACCTACGCTGCTATCGTGCCGCCTTAAGTCAGTCCTTATATGGTCATAGAGATACCATCACACAAACACAGCACACAGAGAAACCACTGATTTAAGCCCAAAATGGTGATGTCACACCATTACGGAGGAGTTTAGTTTTTAATAGGAGCCAGTGAGGAGCCACACTTCACCATGAGCACTTCTCTATTGGGCTTCAGTAAGCTAGCAGGTTAGCATTATCCATCTGTTTACAGATCACTGAAATAGAAAACATTGATTAGTTGCATTCTAAAATAAATGATGTGAAAACTAATGGAAGAGTCAACAGTTTTAGAGCCAGGAACACCTGTGTGTGCGTCTGTGTGTGTGTGTGTGTCTGTGTGTGTGTGTGTGTGCGTCTGTGTGTGTGTGTGTGTGTGTGTGCGTCTGTGTGTGTGTGTGTGTCTGTGTGTGTGTGTGTGCGTCTGTGTGCACTTGTTTTCAACTCCTAGTGGGTTCCATAACCTGAGATTCCGCTCACGTCATGGGGACTGGTTTTACGTGGTGGGGCCCGAACACCGGACCCCACTGGTCCAAGCTTAATAATCAATGGGTAATGCTTTTCTAACGGTCCTTATGCAGTCTCTGTAAAAATATGGAAAGGACCCCTGGAGGTTTACTTTCCTGAAAAAAGTGTGTTATGTGTCGGAACCCTGGTGGTGGGTTGCGGGATATCAGGGAGGGGCACACTGGGGCAATTTCAGTCCAGCAGGCTGGAGCCAATCATGGAGCAGCACAACAGAGGCTGGAGCCAATCATGGAGCAGCACAACAGAGGCTGGAGCCAATCATGGAGCAGCACAACAGAGGAAGTCAGGTGTCAGGCTAGAAAAGGTGCAAGTGTGTGGTTCATTAGGCTGCAGCCAATCACAGAGCAGCACACTGAAAGCGCACGCTTACAAACCACTGGTAAGTGCTGACTACAAGTCATGACTTCAAATTGTTATATAGAATGATTACAAATTATTTGTTGTTTGTGCAGCTTAGTCAAGAGTCCCTAATTGATGAAGTCGACTCAGATTCTGACGATTTAACTGTCAAGAAGAAACCTGTAAAAAAGTATGGAAAAAGAAAAATCAAAAACACTTTTCTTCAAGACTCGGAAAGTGACAAACCAAAGGCAAATAAGATTGTTATCATGCAGCTGCAAAAGAAGAAAAATGGGGGGCGAGTTTACAGCAAGAGACACTTCTGCCTCTACTGTTCAATGTCCTGCCACAAAATGTCCCGTCATTTGACTAGAAAACATGGAAATGAAAGTGACGTAGCCAGAGCATTGGCTCTACCTGTGAAATCTAAAGCACGTAAACTTCAGTTTGATTTGATCAGGAATAGTGGAAACCGTGAGCACAATTTTGAGGTTTTAAAGGCCGGCATTGGAACTTTAGTCCCAGCTAAACAGCCAAATTGCCCAGTTAAATCCAGTGAGTTTTTGCACTGTATAGACTGTGGGGCATTGCTTAAGCGAAAGTCGCTGTGGAGGCATGTGGCCAGGTGCCGGCTTTCACAGAAAGATGCCCAGGCTAAACCAGGCTAAACCAGGCTAAACCAGGTAGAAGTAGGGTCCAGTCCCTCTGCTCCCTAGCCCAGCCTGTACCGGAGGGCATCAGCAAAAAGCTGTGGTCTTTAATTTGGGCAATGCATCAGGATGAGGTCACGGGTGTTGTCAAAGCAGAAAAGGGGATTCTGAGACTCGGAGAGCACCTGTACTTAAAACACGGGCATGATAAGACTAAGCATGATTACATTAGGCAGAAAATGAGAGAAGTCGGTAGGTTAATTAACGAAGCAAAAACCGCAGGGAAACTGAAAACAATTAAGGATTTCTTTATTCCTTCCAACTTTAACCATGTGATTGATGCAGTCAGGTCTGTGGCTGGATATGATGAGGAAACAAATCAATACAAGACTCCATCCTTGGCCCTCAAACTCGGCCATAGCCTCAGAAAGCTAGCAGATATTCTTGAATGTGACTCAAAAATGGAGCATTGTGTTGATGAACTATTTATTAAAAACCTCCAACGAAGCCGGCTGCTTTTTGAGAAGAGGTGGGACGTCTGTGTTTCTTCTGCTGCCCTACAGACCCTCCGGCAAGCCAAGTGGAACACTCCGGACCTGCTCCCTCTGACTGAGGACGTTAGAGCCATGCATGCACATATTGAGGTATGTCGACCTGAATATGTGCAAACCCTAATAAGTGAGCCAACGTCTAAGCATTGGTCTAAACTGGCAGTTTTGACTCTTTGTGAGGTCATCATTTTCAATCGAAGAAGGGAAGGTGAGGTTTCAAAGATGCCACTGACAGCCTTTACCTTAAGAAGTAAGACTGGGATCCATTCTGACATTGCTCTGGGATTGTCCCAACTTGAGAAAAAGCTGTGTCAGCATTTTCAACGCATTGAAATTAAAGGGAAAAGAAGTCGGAAAGTGCCGGTTCTTTTGACTCCTGAAATGATTGCTTCGATGGAGGTGCTGGTGGAGAACAGAAGGGCCTGTTCCATCTCTGACCATAACCCATACTTCTTTTCCCGCCCGGGCGCAGACACCCACATCAGGGGATCAGACTCCCTACGCCAGGTAGCCAAAGAATGTGGTGCGGTGCATCCAGAGATGCTATCCTCAACCAAACTTAGAAAGCACATAGCTACTATGTCTACAGTTCTCAATATTACAGACTACCAGAGGGGACACTGGAGCTGGCCAAAATCAGCAAAGTGTTGATGGCCATGGAGCAGGGAAGAGTGACGGAATTCGAAGGAAAGAGCCTCGACCAGATACAAATTGAGCCTGAAGGTAATTCTTGATATTATTAAAATATGTATGATTTTTTTCCCCTAAAGGCCACTTGTATTTTTATTTTCTGTGCGACAGGGAGAGCAGTAGAGCTCCTCTCACAAACGGACGGGCTAAAAGAAACTTCAAGCGGAGAACCTTCAACCATTCATCCAGATGCACCCCATGGTAGTGGCAGTGCCCCTTCTGGTAAGTGTACCAGGTGGGGATTACAGCCAGGCTGCTTGGTCCTAACCCTGGGAGTGTATATTGCTAATATATTTTTATTTCTCTCCCTAGAACGTGTAAGAAAGCCATGGTCTGCATCTGAGGTGAAGGCTGTGGAGAAGACCATGACACCTTTCATACAGACTGGAAAGGTCCCTGGGAAGTCTCACTGCCTGGCCTGCATTAATGCCTCACCAGATGACCTTAGACATCGGACATGGAGTGGCATTAAATTCTATGTCAAAAATAGAATCACTGCAATTCGAAAAAAAAATCTAAAATAAAATTCCTTTAAAATAGTTGTTTGGTTTCTATTGACTGTTTTGTATTACTTAAAGTAGTCCCAGTAAAAAAAGATTATGTCTATGGGTCCCATTCTGAACGGCCCTGTCAAAGGGACCCACCAGGTAACACAAACGTGTATATGTGTGTGTGTGTGTGTGTGTGTGTGTGCACGTGTGTGCGTGTGTCTGTGTGTGTGTGTGCGTGTGTCTGTGTGTGTCTATTTTTATGTGTGAGTCTGCAGACACACACACTTGTATCATCATCTCAGAGACTAAACAAAACCAGTGAAAATACCAACAAAAGCATGATTATGAACCTACGAAGGAGGAGCTACAAAGAGAAGCAGATCTTCTCCCGAGGGAAGAGGCTGGAACATGGCTGCTCCAAGACGGCCAGAGGAGGCTCGGTTTAAGAGTCTGCATAAAGAACCTCCAGCACAGTCTCACAGTTCACAGTGAGATGCTCATTCTGTGTGTGTGCGTGTGTCTGTCTCTGACACAGCTCTGACTGCAGACGCTGCTCCTTCTGGCACAGCTCTGACTGCAGACGCTGCTCCCTCTGACACAGCTCCGACTGGAGACGCTGCTCCCTCTGACACAGTTCTGACTGCAGACGCTGCTCTCTCTGACACAGCTCTGACTGCAGACGCTGCTCCCTCTGACACAGCTCTGACTGCAGACGCTGCTCCCTCTGACACAGTTCTGACTGCAGACGCTGCTCCCTCTGACACAGCTCTGACTGCAGACGCTGCTCCCTATGACACAGTTCTGACTGCAGACGCTGCTTCCTCTGACACAGCTCCGACAGGAGACGCTGCTCCCTCTGACACAGCTCTGGAGACGTCACACCGCTTTTTGTCCACTCACACTTACCGTAGTGATCAACTGCTCGCGCATGCGCACAGGGCACAGGGCACATTGACTCCGCTTCGGTACCGAACATCACACAGTCGAGCCTCGGACCCAAGTGACGCTAAAGAACGGCCTTTTGTGCACTTTCTGCTCCTGTTGTAAGTCTTTTCCCGCAGACTTTTGCGCAGCCGCAGACGTGACCACAGCACAGGTATCTGCTACACCACTGTCCCATGCTAAGCTAAGCTAGCATAAGCTATGTTAGCTTCTGTGTTATGTTCTGTATAATATATTACTTACAACACAAAACTAATCACCATTTAGACTATATCCACAGGTTCATATGTTACTGTTTAATTATGGATACACACACACACACACAGAGACAGATGCACACTCTCACAGATACACACACACAGAGACAGATGCACACTCTCACAGATACACACACACAGAGACAGATGCACACTCTCACAGATACACACACACAGAGACAGATGCACACTCTCACAGATACACACACACAGAGACAGATGCACACTCTCACAGATACACACACACAGAGACAGATGCACACTCTCACAGATACACACACACAGAGACAGATGCACACTCTCACAGATACACACACACAGAGACAGATGCACACTCTCACAGATACACACACACAGAGACAGATGCACACTCTCACAGATACACACACACAGAGACAGATGCACACTCTCACAGATACACACACACAGAGACAGATGCACACTCTCACAGATACACACACACAGAGACAGATGCACACTCTCACAGATACACACACACAGAGACAGATGCACACTCTCACAGATACACACACACAGAGACAGATGCACACTCTCACAGATACACACACACAGAGACAGATGCACACTCTCACAGATACACACACACAGAGACAGATGCACACTCTCACAGATACACACACACAGAGACAGATGCACACTCTCACAGATACACACACACAGAGACAGATGCACACTCTCACAGATACACACACACAGAGACAGATGCACACTCTCACAGATACACACACACAGAGACAGACACACACACTCGCACTCTTATGATCTCACGTCAAATGAAGTGGAAGAACTGTGTAAACAAGACAAAGAGATCCTTTTTGGTCGCACAGTGGGGACATTTCAATGTTGCAGCGCACAGACAGGACCGTGGTAAGAGACACAGGGAGCACATAAGTCTTAGCTAGCTGTACATGTTGTAAATCCTTCAATACCAGTCATTAAAATATGAGTGTGTTCACAGTAAAGTGACAATTGAAGTATCTGGACTTTAAAAGGTTATAACTTAAAAACTAAAATTACTTTCATAGATTGGAAAAAAGATTTCAAACACAGACAGATTGAAGAGATAGTGTGGAAAAAATCAAAAGGAAAGATTGACATAAAAATGTTTAGCAACATTTTAAACGACCAAATCATCCTCTGATTGGACCATTCTACTGTGACGCCGGTTACATAGGAAATAAAATGTCCTCAGTCTGAAAAAGCAGAAGATGAAATCCCACAGATTTACATGGTTAACACAACAGAAGGAAATCACTTGATTATAAAAAGGAATCGTAAAAATATAAAATATAATTAATTAAATGACCCATGTATAATGGACATGATGAGGACGGTCCCCTTTTCTCTAAAAATTAAACTTGAGAAAAAAAAAAATCTGGTCTGTATCAAACATGGACATCTGAAAATACCTATCAAACTTCCACAAAGCTCATTCCGTCAAATCATCACGTCCGTTAGATAAAATAAACAGGGCGCTATAGGAAACTTGTCAAATGTATAAAACAGTTATGTTTTAGCAACTTCTAATGGACAGAGGAGGTGTTTGGAAACACGAAAAACATAAAATATATTCTGGTTATTAAAATCTAATTTTTGGCCTTTTGTCACACTTTTGTGCCCTTTAGGGTGAACAAGCCCATATATATATATTATATGTAGTGTATATATATGTTTAGTGCAGAGTTATATATATTATATGTAGTGTATATGGGCTTGTTCACACTAAAAGGCACAAAAGTGTGACAAAAGGCTAAAAATTAGATTTTAATAATCAGAAGATATTTAATGTTTTTCATGTTTCCAAGCACCTCCTCTGTTCTTTAGAAGTTTCTAGAACAAAACTGTTTTATACATTAGACAAGTTTCCTACAGCGCCCTGTTTATTTTATGTAACGGTGATGATTTGACGGAATGAGCTGTGGAAGTTTGATAGGTATTTTCAGATGTCCACATTTGATTCAGAGATTTTATTTTTTTACACAAAGTAGATGCAAAGTGATACTTTCATTTTGTCAACCAATTAAATGTGAAAACAGACCAGATTTTTTTTTTCTCAAGTTTAATTTTTAGAGAAAAGGGGACCGTCCTCATCATGTCCATTATACATGGGTCATTTAATTAATTATATTTTATATTTTTACGATTCCTTTTTATAATCAAGTGATTTCCTTCTGTTGTGTTAACCATGTAAATCTGTGGGATTTCATCTTCTGCTTTTTCAGACTGAGGACATTTTATTTCCTATGTAACCGGCGTCACAGTAGAATGGTCCAATCAGAGGATGATTTGGTCGTTTAAAATGTTGCTAAACATTTTTATGTCAATCTTTCCTTTTGATTTTTTCCACACTATCTTCAATCTGTCTGTGTTTGAAATCTTTTTTCCAATCTATGAAAGTAATTTTAGTTTTTAAGTTATAACCTTTTAAAGTCCAGATACTTCAATTGTCACTTTACTGTGAACACACTCATATATATATGTGTAGTGCAGAGTTATATATATTATATATATTATATGTAGTATACAGTGCCTTGCGAAAGTATTCGGCCCCCTTGAACCTTTCAACATTTCGCCACATTTCAGGCTTCAAACATAAAGATATAAAAATTTAATGTTTTGTCAAGAATCAACAACAAGTGGGACACAATCGTGCAGTGTAACGAAATGTATTGGATAATTTAAACTTTTTTAACAAAAAACTGAAAAGTGGGGCGTGCAATATTATTCGGCCCCCTTGCGCTAATACTCTGTAGCGCCACCTTTTGCTGCAATTACAGCTGCAAGTCACTTGGGGTATGTCTCTATCAGTTTTGCACATCGAGAGACTGGAATTCTTGCCCATTCTTCCTTGCAAAACAGCTGGAGCTCAGTGAGGTTGGATGGAGAGCGTTTGTGAACAGCAGTCTTCAGCTCTTTCCACAGAAACCTCCAACAGGTTTTCTTCCAGAATGGTCCTGTATTTGGCTCCATCCACCTTCCCATCAATTTTAGCCATCTTCCCTGTCCCTGCTGAAGAAAAGCAGGCCCAAAGCATGATGCTGCCACCACCATGTTTGACAGTGGGGATGGTGTGTTCAGGCTGATGAGCTGTGTTGCTTTTACGCCAAACATATCGTTTTGCATTGTGGCCAAAAAGTTTGATTTTGGTTTCCTCTGACCAGAGCACCTTCTTCCACATGTTTGGTGTGTCTCCCAGGTGGCTTGTGGCAAACTTTAAACAAGACTTTTTATGGATATCTTTGAGAAATGGCTTTCTTCTTGCCACTCTTCCATAAAGGCCAGATTTGTGCAGTGCACGACTGATTGTTGTCCTATGGACAGACTCTCCCACCTCAGCTGTAGTTATCTGCAGTTCATCCAGAGTGATCATGGGCCTCTTGGCTGCATCTCTGATCAGTCTTCTCCTTGTTTGAGATGAAAGTTTGGAGGGACGGCCGGGTCTTGGTAGATTTGCAGTGGTCTGATACTCCTTCCATTTCAATATAATTGCTTGCACAGTGCTCCGTGAGATGTTTAAAGCTTGGGAAATCTTTTTGTATCCAAATCCGGCTTTAAACTTCTCCACAACAGTATCTCGGACCTGCCTGGTGTGTTCCTTTGTCTTCATGGTTCTCTCTGCGCTTTAAACAGAACCCTGAGACTATCAAAGAGCAGGTGCATTTATACGGAGACTTGATTACACACAGGTGCATTCTATTTATCATCATCAGTCATTTAGGACAACATTGGATCATTCAAAGATCCTCACTGAACTTCTGGACTGAGTTTGCTGCACTGAAAGTAAAGGGGCCCAATAATATTGCACGCCCCACTTTTCAGTTTTTTATTTGTTAAAAAAGTTTAAATTATCCAATAAATTTTGTTCCACTTCACGATTGTGTCCCACTTGTTGTTGATTCATGACAAAAAAATTAAATTTTATATCTTTATGTTTGAAGCCTGAAATGTGGCGAAATATTGAAAGGTTCAAGGGGGCCGAATACTTTCGCAAGGTACTGTATGTGTGTAGTGCAGAGTTATATATATTATATGTAGTGTATATATGTGTAGTGCAGAGTTATATATATTATATATATTATATGTAGTGTATATATATGTGTAGTGCTGAGTTATATATATTATATGTAGTGTATATATATGTGTAGTGCTGAGTTATATATATTATATGTAGTGTATATATATGTGTAGTGCAGAGTTATATATATTATATGTAGTGTATATATGTGTAGTGCAGAGTTATATATATTATATGTAGTGTATATATGTGTAGTGCAGAGTTATATATATGTAGTGTATATGTGTCTGGACTAGTGACATCTGTTGGTCGCAGCTTACACCGTTTCTACTCGGCTCTACCTTGTTCTGTTTCCATTAGGTATCCTAGCAACCTACCAACAACAGACCTGTATCTAGGGATAGTCCTTGGTTAGTACCAGCTCGGGCTGGATACAACCAGGACCAAAGGGACTAAAGAAGGACCTGGTACTGGTTACAAAGGACCAGAGGAAACGGTCCCAACCAGAGGAGAGGAGGTAGAAACCGGGCTAATGTCAGTGACTGGGGTCCTTTCATCTGTAAGATCATATGTGCACATTTCAGCAGAAGAGAAAAAGTAAGACTCAGGTTTCACTCAGGATCTATTTGTTAAGATCTTTATGAAATAGATAGATAGAATTATAATCAAACCCGCAAGCGGTGTCAAACGGCCCTCACCGCGCCGCACAAAAGAGGT